AAAATATATCGCTTGGTATTATTCCTATACCGCCAAGGAATTGGGGCATAGGGAGAATACCAAAGGGTTTTCTGCTAAGGAATTAGAGTCAACTAATCTTTAAAACCGGTAACGATTGAATTGAGCAGTGATTTCTGAAAATTAAGGATTAAGGTTATTACAAGTCTTTTCATACACCCTACCCTAGCATGCTTCTCATAACTGTCTAAAACCATTATTTTACTACTTTTGTCTTCTGGCCTTTACAAATTTTGAAGAAACAAACCAAAACCCTTATGACTTTTTGTTCAATTGCATTATTATAAAACTTGTGTTCATATGCAGTCCGCGAGATCGATATTCGGGGAATTTACCCCTATTACTACATCGGTAAAAATAGTACACTTGCTATTTTATCGATCAGTGGCCAAGGAAACTTTAGAGGTGAAAAGAAGAGATTTGACAAGAGCAAGGAGCAGTGCTATAAGTGTCAAAGGTTCGGTCATTTTGAAAAAGAGTACAATGCGAATAAGAAGTAACCTCAAAGAGATGAAGCCAAGGTTGCAAGATAAGAGTTTGATGAAAAGATAACACTCTTGGTCAGGATCACAGTAGGACATTTAGTTGTGTCTGGTTGAATGATGAGGTTAACCGGTTGCATGAAGAAGAAAACACCATGATGAGTTTGAAAGGAGCTCAATGGAGTGAGAAGTGGTATTTGGACTCGGGTTGTTCAACTCATATGACAAAGAGGAAGGATTGGTTTGTTAAAATCAATCCTACCATGAAGAACAAAGTAAAACTCGCGGTTGACATCACTTTAGTGGCCGATGGGATTGATGATGTTTTGATCATGAAGAGGGATGATTTATATTCCTTGATCAAATATTTCTTGTTTATTCCAAGAATCAAATGTAGACTTCTAAGTATTGGCCAATTACTTGAAATGGGTTACAAGATTCACATGGAAAACAATGGATTGCATGTTATGGATGCAAAGGAGTTATGGTTCTTAAAGCGCCTATGGCTGCCAATAGAACCTTTAAGGTTGAGCCGAAGGTTATGGGGCATCGATGTCTTGCTACTGCAGCAAGTCATGAAGAGTGGATGTGGCATTATTGTCTTGGACATCTCAAATTTAGAGATCTCAAAGACTTGCAAAAGTACAGAATAGTAACGAGGCTGCCATTGATCAACATACCAGCTAAAATTTGTGAAGAATGTGTGCAAGCGAAGCAACATAAAGGTAAATTCAGCAATGATATAACCGTAGAACCAAGAATCACCTTGAGGTGGTGTATTTGAATGTGTGTGGGTGGATGCATGTAGATTCTATTGGTGGCAATAGGTACATTTATTGACGATCATAGTAGAAAGGTATGGACATACCTAATCAAAAGAAAAGATTAGGTACGTGAAGTGTTCAAGAGTTTTAAGTCCATGGTTGAGAGGAAAAGTAGTCACAAACTCAAAGTGCTCAAAATTGATGGTGGAGGCAAATATGTCTTAAATGACTTTGTGAGATTTTATGATCAAGAAGGGATTATACATGAGGTAGTACCACCCTACACACCACAACAAATTGGTGTTTCTAAAAGGAAGAACCATTCGATCATGAACATGATGAAAAACATGTTAAAGGGGAAGAACTTGTTGAATGAGTTATGGGGAGAAGCAGTATCCACAACTGTCTATTTGTTGAATAGGTGTCCTACAAAGAAGTTTGAGAATGTAACAGCGGAGGGAGCATGGTCGAGATTCAAACCGAATTTGAACCATTTGAGAGTCTTTGGTCCCATTGCATATCGACATGTTCTGGGAAAACTTAGAAAGAAGTTGGATGATAAGGATGAAGTGATGATACTTGTAGGATATCACTCTACCGGTAATTACAAATTGTTTGATGCTGTAAACAGGGGGATCATGATAAGTGGGGATGTCATAGTCGACGAATTGAAGCAAATGCATCAGGGTGTAATCGGTTACCAGTAGAAATTAACTAGTAATATGCAAGCGTTAGCCGATTACTTGAAAGTTGTAATTGGTTACATCTTCAAAATTTTCCGTTCTGAAGAAAGGGTAAGTGCAAAACAGCCAGTCGTTGAAGCCCGAAATAAGGAAAATGTTAGAAGATGAATAAGGCAAAGGGGTTTGCCTTAAAAACTTCAAGATTGTGAGTTGTTCTGAGACATTAATGTCAATGATGATGGTGATTTCGTCCATTTTTCACTAATGGATGAATCTGAACCTGTTAATACGAAAGAGGCTTTAAGTGATCCAAAGTGGATTTGTGGTATGAAGGACAAACTGCAATCCATTGAGAAGAACACTACTTGGGAGTTGGTTGATCTACTAAAAGGAAATAGGCCAATTGTTGTGAAGTGGGTGTTTAAAGTGAAAGCAAATCCCAAGGGTGATATAATCAAGCATAAGGCTTGATTGGCGTCAAAGGGATTTTTGAAAAAAGAAGGCATAAACTTTGAAGAGGTATTCACACCAGTTACTAAGATTGAAACTATTAGGTTTGTTGTTGGTGTTGCAAATAATCAAAGTTGTCCTATCTACCAAATGGACCTCAAATATGCGTTTTTGAACGGACCACTTGAAGAGGAGGTATATGTAGGAAAGCCCCCTGGTTTTGTTGTGAGAAACCAAGAGCTGAAGTTCCACAAGTTGAAGAAAGCGTTATATGGTTTAACTCAAGCTCCAAGAGCTTGGAATAAAAGGATAGATGGTTTCCTAAAAGATGTTGACTTCAAGAAATTTGTATTTGAGCATGGTGTGTATGTGAAGACAGATACTAGTGAAGTAGTAATTATCCTTTGTTTATATGTAGACGACTTATTGATCACCGACAACAATAGAATGTGTATTTAAAAATTCAAGAGTGAACTTATGAAAGAGTTTGAGATGACCAACCTTGGTCTCATGACATACTTCCTTGGTATTGAGTTCCACAAGTCCAAAAGAGGTCTGCTTATGCACCAAAGAAGATATGCTCTTGAGATAACGAAGAAGTTTGAAATGAATCATTACAATGCTGCCATTTCTCTATCTGAACCAAGGCTGCAGTTGTCTAAGAAGCAAGATGAGTAAGATTTTGATCCAACTAAATATAGGAGGTTAATTGGATCCTTGCGTTATTTGTGCAATACGCGACTGGCCTTGGTGTTTAGTGTCAGTATTGTGAGTAAATTCAAGGGGAGATCAAAGGTGTTTCACTTGGCAGCAGTCAAGAAAATCCTAAGATACGTCAAAAGGTTCTGTTGGATACATAACTATCTTTCCTGCAGCGGATATGGGCAGAAAATGTAATTTGCTCAATTTTACCAATTATGATTGGTGCGGAGATAAAGATGATCGAAAGTCTACCACAAGATACATCTTTATGTTTGATACAACACAGATCTCATGGTGTTTGAAGAAGGAACTGGTAGTTACACTTTCATATTGTGAGGTCGAGTACATTGTCGCTTCGTTATGTGCATGCCAAGCCGTGTGGCTTATGAATCTATTGGAAGAGTTGTGCCTCAGTGAGGGTGTAGTTGTTACACTCCTAGTTGACAACATTTAAGCGAATAATCTTGCTAAGAACTCAATTGCACATGGGAAGAGCAAGAATATTGAGATGATGTTTCACTACTTGAGGGAACTTGTTAGAGAAAGAAGGTTACGATTGAGATATTGTAGAAGTGAAGACCGAGTTGTTGATTTGTTGACTAAGAGAATCACAAAGGAAGTATTCAATAGGTTGAAGATGAATATGAGCATGGAAGACTTGTAACACTTGAGTTAAGGTGGTGTAATGAATGTTTTTCAAGTAATTCAAGTGTTGTAACCGGTTAACACGAGTGTGTAACCAATTGCAGCAAGGTCATTAGCTCATCCAAGTAGTAGAGAAGTGAAGTTTTCGTTGATGTAACCGGTTAACCTATTGTGTTAACTAGTTATCACTGAAGGGAATTTAATTTCAATGTCAGGTGTAACCGATTAACCAAATCGTGTAACCGATTACGAACCCGATTTTTGTACATTTTTGTTATTTTAGTTGGTTGTTTTGCTTCTCAATCACATTGTAACCTTTGTATAAATGCACAAGATACATTCTCATCCTAAACTAATGCAATAATCATTTCTCACCCTCAATTATCTCACCCTCAATTCTCTCTCTCCCTCCCTCCCTCCTTCCATTAACAATGAGAATAATTAATTATGGGTTACTTATGCAAATACCAAGCTGAACTAAATTCAATCTAGTGCGATGTTTTGACAAATATAATATAAAAAAGTTTGCATGAAGTAGTATATAAAATAGTATAAAATAAATTTGTTAGGAGTTCTTTCAAATACCAATATTTAATAAAATATTAAATTTTATTTGATTTATATATTTCATAAAATAGAATTAAAAATCAAACTAATATGTATATGAAAAAAAGAATAATAAATGAAACATATACCATGGGCATGTATAAATGCTATATGAAACATGCACATGGCCTTGTCCCCCACCCAATTAATCCACCATGTTTATGAACTTGCTACTCTATTCTTGACTTAACAATAAAAGAAAAACCAACCTCTATGAAAATACATTTTTCTTGTTTATGGTACAAATAATTTAAAAACCGATTAATTCAATGAATTGCATATGATAACATAGAAAATATTAATAAAAGTCAACTTGAAATGAAGAAAACTAAAAAAAAAAAAAAGTTAAGTAACAACAATCAAGCGCATTATTATTCTTATTATTAATCATGCAAACACACAACAAGTAAATATTAAATAAAATCTTGCAAGAGAAACACATAATTTAAAGTGATTATCGTTTCTGTTCATAACTTAAAAACATCTCAAAGCTTAATTATTTTTTTTGAAAAAGTATTATAAATATAACAAATTAACCATAATGTTACACACACAAACAGAGTTATCTATATATTTTCAACACCCTTCTTCTTAGCCCATGTAGAAGCACTGACGATGGAGCAGGTAATGGACTATAAAGATTAGTCTAGCTAGCTTCTGTTCTTGCATTTTTCCATGGCTCTTGGTGCTAATATATATAACAAAAAATTATCATTAATTAATTTTAGAATATAGCAAATAAAAATCTACAATTATAGATTGTATTCATGCATAATATTAATGAGTTTTTTTTGGTTTATACTAACCTAGTCCAATAGCTTCCTTTCCTTTCATGATACGTAAACGCTTGCATGATTCCATAAACATCCTGGTAGACACAAACAAAATAAATATACACATTAATATAAATAATTAATTTTTTTTCTTTCTAATATAACGAGATCTAGCTAGTTATTGCATGAAAAATAAAAAATATTGAGGTTGCAAATTTTGGAAGAAATGAATGAAAAAACTTACTCCCATGGTACATCACCGACAAGCATCCAATCACCATCTTTGTCTTCATAAGTTGGAACATAGTCAGAGGTTTTCAATAGATCCATCAACTTGTTACTCTCCTTCATGAAATCCTTAATTCCTTGGGATTCACAATTTCCTTAAATTTCAATATATAACCAAAAAAACACCATTAATACTCACATGCACGAACTAATACACTATCCCATTAATTTGCGTATGAGTATATGATAGATGATAGATACATGAATGTAAACTACTAATAATAGTATAAGATTTACCTGTGGTGATGGAGTTAAACATTTTGGCTAAGGCATCAGAAAGCTCTGGGTAACTCTTGTACATTTTTAGGTCTATTTTGCGAAGATAAGGTGCTCCATCCATGCTAACTTTCACAAAGCTTATTGCATTAGGACCATCCGTGTTTTTCTTCTTTGTTTCTTCTGATCCGCCTATGCTCTTTTGGCCTGCAAACATGTTCTTCCTAAACGACCTCACCGGTGGCCATCCTACAACTTGCGTCCTATATACAAAAAAAAAACTTGTGAATTTTCTTTGATAAAGACCAAAGACATAGCCGTTTTGAGAATATGTAAGACAGACTACTGCCGAGGACCTTTAAAAACTTACGGCTCAAGAAGAGATAGTATAGTGAAATAAACTACTTACTTAGCAGGAGGCTTGGTTCCGGAATCAGAAACCAGAAGAGACTTCTCCTTAGGCATAAATTGTGGATCTGCTGCACCTTCTTTGGGAGAGAGATTAAGCTTCAAATCTACCGTGGTTATTTCGCTTTCACTCTCACTCTCACTCTCAGTTTCACTGAAACCTCTCTTTCTTACTGCAACTTCTGTTACTTTGCTTCCATTTCCTGGCAATCCCAACCTCAGTTCCGTTTCATCAAACACCATCTTCTCTTCGTTTATCAGACCTGCAACTTCCATGAACTTTCTCTCTCTAAAGTTATCTTTCTCTTTCTCTCTCTAAGCGTTCACTGATTTGATAGCTTTATGGCAATAATAGAGAAGGCAAGAGCACGTTCAAGTGGGGGAAGTCTTTTACGTTTGAGAGGGGTGGCCATTTATTACAAGGATGGGATGGGTATTTTTGTCTTTTCATTATTATTAAAAAGAAAGTTAATTTTATTTTATTTAAAAATTAATTTATACAAAACATATTCGAATATTAAATTAATAGTTAAAAACAGATTTCAAACCAAAACTTATAAATAAAGATACATTTAAATATGTTTCAATAATCACCATAAAGTCATGATCTTATAATTGCTATTACATTCAAGAAATCATATTTTCAAGAGACAAAATGATTATTTATCCAATATAAAAACTCAAAAGGTATAGAGTCAAATGACACTGTGACACGTGGAGGAATATGTGAACAAGACTTTTCCAACCTTGCTGGGATAGGTGAGGACATGGTCATGTTATCTTCCTATGATTGTTCAATAAAACAAGTGGAAGTGGGCACCCACGGCCATTGCTGCCTCCTAATTATCTATTTTTTATTTTATTTCCACATACCTACTTAGGATTTTCACATTTCACTCATTGATAATTTTTTTTATTATAAATTTTATAGTCTGTCTGAAAATTTAAGAGAAACTTTTTATTAACTAAAGAAAGGGATGCAAAGTCCGAAGTAGAATTAGAAAAACGTAAGAAGGGTAAGGAAAAAGGACCAAATAATTAATAAATGTATAAAACTCAGTCAATCTATTTTTAATCTAATATAGATATTATAGATATATCAATCAACTACGTATAATACTACCTCTGTCTTAAATTAAAAGATATTTTAAATATTTCATATTAATTAAAAAGAATAATTAATTTTATATAAAAAAAGAATTATGTATGATTTTATAAAACTATTCTTCATTAATTATATAGAAATAGAAAATTAAAAGAATTGAAATAATAGAGAGGAATAAATAGTATATGCTATATTAGAAGAAAAAAAAAACATTGATGATATATTGGAGACAACTTTTTTGACAAACAAACTTATAATTTAGAAAAGAGAGAATATATAATACTACCTGAATTAATATTCATCAATTCATTTATACATTGATTATCTTCCCTTCTTTGAATATGTGAGAGACAATGAGGTTTATGAAATCAATGAGATATAAGGAGTTAATCCCGTATAGTATGAAAGGACACCATGAACTTCTTTGATGATATGTGTATCATCTCAATTTTTAATTATTTCTTTTAATTGAATTTATAATATTTATTTGAATATTTTATTTAATTAAATATAATTATTGAAAAGGGGTAGAGATTTAATTAATATTATTGTTAACATAATTAATATTAAAAATAATAGATAATAAAGAGAGATTTTAGAGTTGGGAGAAAAATAGATATAAATTAGAAATAATAGAGTTTTGGCAGTGTTTTAAGTTAATGTTAAAGATAACACATAAAATATATTAGTGAGTCAGGGGTATTTTGAGTAAGGGCTACAGTATAGTGAGTGTTGTTGGAATAATTAAAATTATTATTTTTATTAAATTATTTATTAGATAATTAAAAATTATTAAGAAATAGGTGTTTTGAGTAAGAATTAAGGGTGTGACTAGAATTAGTAAAATAATAGAGCTATTTCACTAATTGAGTTTATTTGAGTAATTGTATATATTTTTTTAGAATATTAATTGAATAATACAAATAGAGATTTACTGAGGGTGTGAGGAGAATTGAGAGGTGAAAAGAGTAAGTGGAATATTATGTTAGAATAAATAGTAAAGTGGGAGGAGCTTTTAGGGAGGATGTGAAAAAGTTGAAAAAAAGACAGAAAAAGAGAGACGAATCTAGGAGGATTTAGAGAGCGATGACAAATTCAAAAGGCAAGAAAGCTCAATGATTTTCAAACTGTCGAGGTAAGTGGGGAGAAATTATTCATGTGTGGGTGTTTATGCAGATGGATAGCGAGGGTTCCTTACCCTTCTACCTTCTTATTTTTCTATGATAATGTTTGTGGTCGAAGAAGGTTTGGACAAAACCTTCTAAGGCGATTATTATGATAATATTTTTGTGTTTGTACTTGATCATTATTGACCTTGATTTGATAACATGTATTACTGCCTTTTAATAAGGCGAGAACTGATAAATATGTATGTTGATGCCTTTTGATAAGGCGCGAGTAATTGATATTATCCATTAATGCCTTTTGATTAGGCGAGTTCATAAATATGTGATGTTTGTTGATTTTTGTTATCCATGGTTAACCTATGTGAATTGAAGTGATAATATATTTTGTTGACACCTTATAGTGATAATATATTATGTTGACGCGCCTTGCGATAAAGTGAATTTTAAATTTGACCTTCTCCCTATTAATGCCTTATGATAAGGTGAGAATTAGAGTTATCATCCTTAAATGGTTGAACCCATAATGTTGTTGTGATAACATGTTGGATCTTTGATGTTTCAGCAATATTAATCATTGTTAAATTTATCTGTGTCTTTGGGGTGGTTAGAACTCAAGTAGGCTAAATACGTGAGTTTTGAACATTTTTAATAGAGATAAATTAAAATGTAGAAAAATCGCAGGTAGACATAGAGTTGCCTTGAATAATTGTTGCCTTACTTTGTTGGTGGTCTGACATGAGTAACAATGTAAATTACTCTGTTGGTGAGTAGTATTGTGATAATATGTTAATATTTTGTATTGTTGATGAGTATGTGTTAATATGATATACTTATATGATAGAGTTACAATTGTATAACATATTTTTGAGTTATATAGTTCAAAAAAAAAAACAACTGTGGTGGAATTGCATTGGAAAATTGTGGTTCATAGATAACCTTGTCCAGAGAGGACATTTTGCTCAGAGAGAATATTTTTCGAGTATTAGACGTGAATGATGTTTCTTTGATTTTCTAGTTGAATTGTTGCTTATGTGTTTTGAGAATTATTGTTGAGTCACATGCATTTATGTATATCGAAGATATGTAAGACTTTATTTTGACGAGGTTCGGTGCTCAGAGAGAGCCAGTGACAAGGTCTAGTGCTTAGAGAGAGCCAGTGATCAGGTCTAGTGCTCAGAGAGAGCCAATGATCAGGTCCATTGCTCAAAGAGAGCCAATGAAGGTCTTATTATTCAAAGAGAACATTTTCTATAGATGAATTAGAGACGTGGATAATTCCGTAAAATAATTCAGACATCCAAAGTTTTGGTACCACATGCATTTTTTAAGGAAAAGTACATTGCATCAATACATTTGCATTGTGATTCGTTGTTGTTGTTTGCATATGATTGTGTTATGTCCTTATTGTTCTATCCTTGCTATTTTATGCACCATTAACATATATAAATGTATTATCACCCCATATTTGTTTCCTATGTTGTTCTTTACGCCTATGGTGTATATACTCAGGTTGAGCCCTAGGAGCATTAGATGTTTCTTATATTGGAGGATGACATAGTTGGACATTTTCTTTTATTGTGTTTATGTTGTTTATTTTCTACGAGTTGCTCTGATAGTGTAACACTTGGGCTGGGATGCTGATGATGTTTTTCGAGTTGTTAGATTAATTTAATTAGTCAAATGTTTTATTTTTTTGAGATATTATAAAGCATGTTTGAAGTTGATTTTCGGTGTGATTTTATAAAAGTTTTTGAGAAGTACAGTTGTTTGAGAGAGATGTGTGAAATCATTGTTGGTTAAATATGATTATTGCATATATTTACCTTAATTAAAAGTATTAGGAGATAAGGTGTTACAATATGAGCATTAGTTAAATGGTTGTAAATGTTGAAAGTCTTTAACATTTTAACATGATGAAGTCTATTATGGAAGCATATGTGGTGAGTTTTGTTATGTTGCTTGACATGGTAGTGTTAGAGATGGTCATTTTTGTACCAATTCTCCATCTGACAATAAATCTAGCTTGGATCCTGCAGTTATATCTAACATTGAAGATGTTGATAAGAGAAGAAAAAATAGAAACCTTGCATTTAGAAGAGTGTCCTTTATTACATGCATAAAAAATGTTCATGAAAGAGTCATGGTTGAAAAAAGAGATATCCTGAGCAAACTACTTCCAAATATGAGATGCAAATTTATAATCAATGAAAAGGTGATTGAGGTCCTCAACATCTAGATAGAGACTCTAAGTGGAAGGCAAATTGCAGCCTATACTTTTTAAATTGTTATATGCGTGTAGCTTTGTTGGTGTATGTCCTAGAGGACAAAAGCTTTATTAGAACTTGTTACTTGTATTGAATTATCTAATAATAATAAAACATTTTTTATTTATTTATTTATTTATTATTATTATTATTATTATTATTATTATTATTATTATTATTATTATTATTATTATTATTATTATTATTATTATTATTATTATAATAGAGTAATAAAGTCTTTAGAATAACTAGTTTATTTGATGAAGTATTAAGTGAGACTTAATCGTGAGACCCCATTAAAGATAAGAATATTATTCTTAAAGTATATGTATTCAAGCTTTATTGTGATGTGGATTAACATCAAAGCATTAAAACTATTATGTAGATAGACGAATAACATCTCACTAACATGGATAAAGAGGTATCAAATCTTCACATAGGTATAAGTATTAAGAGTAACATTTATACTGGATCTAATTTTTTAATTAAAGAATTAGAGATGTTTTAAAATAAAATAATAACTATTAATTTATATTAAAAATAAAAGTATTATCTAAAAATATAAGAATATATATTGATTTGTCTTATAAATTTTATTTAAATAATAATAATAATCATAATAATAATATAATTGTTTATATTTATTTAAATTTGATAGGCTTAAAATATATTTTATTTTATGGCTTAAAGTTTAAATTTTAACTAAATAAACTTATAAAATAGCATATGTCTTTTCTACGTTTAATCTATATCGATATAAGTTATATTGTAGACTGCAGT